TTCGGTACGGACACGGTGGATTAGGATTAAACGAAATACGGTAAGGACGCTACAGAAGACGCCCTATGACTCCATCACCATCTATGTGACTATGACTACAACCTTTAGTCATGTGTCTGCCCTTGATGCGGTATAATGAAATAGCGAATACAGGTGGCTACTTTCTGGGGAATGACGGCCTCGAAGGGTTCCGAACGCGGACTCATTGTCCTACTGGTTCTGCTAAGTCAGACCTGGCAAACTACGGCCTGCTAGCCACATCCGGCCCTTTGTGCGTAATATATAATTTATAAATGTATATATTTATTAAATATATAATACACTAAATATATAATTTGGTTGAGAATTAAGTTCGTTATCGTTGGTGTGGCCCTCTGATACAATTTAGGTTTCTCATGTGGCCCCTTGTAAAAATTAATTGCCCACCCCTGTGCTGTCTGGACAAGCGAGGGAAAGGGTTCCGAATGCAGCATTAAAGATGTTGCATGGAATGGTGGCGAACTCGCAAGCGAATGCCTGCAGTAATGTTTGCGGATTGTCATCAGGGTCAGGTTTACGCTTTGCTATGAATTTTAGATGCTAATAAACATTGCATTCACTTGCAAATGTTGGGAATGGCGCAAGGGTAAGTAAGCTGGCAACTTTGTTATTTGCAGTGGAGTAACTTGTTACTACTGATGAAGTTAGCATCGCTCCCTGGCGAGTCGGTAAATTCGCTGATTTGAAAGAGGTGTCTGTCAATTCTTTGTCATCAATTATGTTCCTAATGTGACTATACCATGCTTTGGAGGTTGCTACACTGATCTTACAATTTATTTATTTATGATGATTTTTCTTAGCCACTCTTATTACTTGTCTTACTTTTCTTACTAAGTAGTTTGCAGCAATATTTTTCGTCATTGAAGTATTTGCAAGGAAAATACAAGGAAGTGTTCTGCGGTTATATTGGTCAAGCAGACTTCAGATTTCTATATAGAAAAAGTTTCAAGGGAAGGAATCTGACTTCAAAAACTCGACACCAACAAGCGCCTTCCCTGTATAGAGCAGCAATCAAGGGAGGTTTGGTCAAACGAACTTGGTACCAATTGCTGAGTTCAGGATCATGTAGAGCATGATAGGGCATATGAAGAACTGGATGTCTGCCGGGGACCCCCTGATCTGTTTGACCTCTGTGGACCCCAAAATGGGCAAAAAAGAAAAGAAAAAAAAATCAGCTGGGCCAAACATTATTGGTACCACTTGAAATAAAGTTTATATACTTCAACACAGCTGAGAGTTCAGAATGGACGATACCAGACCTGCTGCATTACGCCCGCTAAATACGTCCAAAAGTGACTCACCCACTCTGCTCTGACGTATCACAGACATACTGCCAGCTGCAGTGTTCTGTAGATAAAACATGAAGGAATGAAACTACCATTGAATGAAAGGTAACACTCCACCAAGTACAAAGTGACCTTTGCCAGACATACTCCCAGCTACTTTAGGCCCGCCAGACACCCAAAAGGGCCTAAAAATTTTGGCTGGATCAAACATTTTTGGTACCACTTGAAACAAAGTTAATATACTTTGATACGTATCAGAATGTACAGAATGGCCAATACCAGACAAATTAGCTACTGTATTATGCATGCCAGACATGGCCAAAAGTGACCCTCCCCCTCTCTCTGCTCTTAGATAACTGATGTAGATAAAACATGAAAAGTACTGAATAAAACTACTTTCCAATGAAAGGTACATACTGCCTGGCGCATTAGACACCTAGCTGGTTTGTCATGCGTCAGGTTAGTAAGACAATACAATGTATATTTTAGCTAATCAGACGCTAGATGTTGGCAAAATTATTGGTTTCATCACACATTTAGTTCAACTGACAGCTGCTAAAACCTCCAGAATATTACAAGTTACAAATCATCTGTACTTTCAGAGTCAACACTCGTCTATATCAGATCCAGAATCATCAGCATCTTCATACTCAGTGTTATTCTCAACCTCTTGACTTGCTAGTTCTTCATCCTCAAATAGTTCCCGAGAACCAGACAGGAACAATATCAGAAATGTTGGCGTCTTTGCCACCCAACCAAACACTGTCACTCCACGGGCCTCTATGTGCCCAACCAGGTCATGACCTTTCAAATTGCTCTGCTCAGTCACATACTTCTGCAAATTGTAGTGGCTCCCATAATGTATATAATAGGAGCTGCCCTGCCTACAAACTGAGGTTTCAGTTCTCAGATTCAAACTAGACCTCACTTTACATGAGGCCAGGCAGGGAACACAACAGAGATTTTTCTATCTCTACCTATTCTAAAACTGTCCTTAGCTCTGCTCCCCTCCATCTTCTCAAGATGTCTCAACATCTCCCCCAGTATCTTTTCCCTCTATCCCAAACCATCCTACCTCTATTCCCCCTCTTTCCCAGTCAAATTCCTTTTCCAGTTTAAATCCAGATACTCCAATGTTTACCACTTCCCTGATGCCTGCACCATCTCTAATTTAACAGTTGCACCAGGCTACCCTAACATTCCACTCCATCTTTTCCTACCACATCCTCTCCTTCACCCTCCTCTTCCTATAATCATCAGACATCTATCACGTCTTCTCATTACAACAGAACCTTTGTTTCTCAGACCTCCCCACCCAACTCTCCTCCAGAAACTCTTGAAGACATCCAAAACTTCCTAAACATGAACCAAGAGAATGCTCTGCTCCCTCATCCTCCCTCCAATCCCTCTATTTCTATTTCCTCTACATTCAAAGTATTTGCCAATATCCATAATCCTCCTCAAGTTCCCCCTACCTTCTTCCTTCCACTCTCGTCCAACACAACCGATCCTCTCCTTTTTCATGTGTAACATTCCCTTTTCTTTCCCCATTAACCTTATCACTCCCACTGGATGATCAAGTGAATCCCTTCTGACGCAAGTGTCCTTTTCTGGATCCTTCCCCTCTTGACATTCTTCCTGATATGTTCCCACCTTCCCTAGTCTCCGTATCTCATTCCCTTGATTATTCTCCTCCTACTTTTCCAACAGCCTTCTCTACGTGTATTACCCATTGATTGTTTTATAATGGCTTTTTTGTCAGTTATCCTTAAACAATATTCCTCATCCTTCATCAGCCACAGATACTCTCCATTTAATCAAGTCGCCCTATGCCCTTAACCCTTTCCTCTTTTACTGACCTCTGCTTTACTTAATTTACTCCCCCTTTACCCTATGCTATCCTACAATGCTCTATAACCAGTAACATCGAACACATTTTATCCTAACCGTTAACTCATTTTTACCCTTTTTGCCACAATCCTTTACCATAGTGGTATATGACCTTTCTATAGTGCTATTTGACCTTTGATGTCTAGCACTTTTATTCTGATCTAACCCTGAACCAGTAACCATCGACTAGAAAAGGATCAACTACATTCCATTTGTGCAAAAGAATGTATTTCCTCAAATGACGATTATCCAGTGTCCTAAGGGTCTGAAAACACTGCATATACAATACCCCCAATGCACTGAATTTCACAAGTTCTAAGCAATTTTATTAACTGGACCCACTTTGGGTTACCCTGCTTAACCCCAAAGACCATTCATTGAATAGTCGGTATACTACTACTACTACTGTGTTGGCAGTTCTTCGATTGGTTTATCAAACGAGCACATGCACTCCTCTCCGCATCTGTGCAACCATGACAATAATAAACACAAAGCCAGAAGCCCACATACAACCATTGTTGTTCATTTATATAAAATAGGTTTTCAGATATAAAAAAAAGGTTATAGTTTATTAAGTGGGACACAATCTCCAGTCCACATCTGTACAATCATGACAGTAAACATAAATCCACATGCATGTCCATATATATAAAATAGGTTATCATTATATATCAAATTAACCAATTTAAATCAAAATGAGAGCGAGACACGAGAGCAAAGAAAAAATCTCATAAACCTACCATGAATTGGTATTGTTTTCCTTGCTTGTGAGAAAGTATTTTATCAACATAGTAGCCTTCTTGGTATGGTTTCATACACAGTACATATTAATAATATGAATAGTATAGTAAGAATATAGAAATTACTATATATATATATTTTTTCAAGATGGAAAGCATGTAAGCGGTTAATTTTGTTTAACCTCTCCCCTAAGTTATTTTTATATCTTTATTCATTATCAATGGCAAATTTGAGTATTCAGTTATTACATTATTCATTTTTTTGCATATATCAAAATTGCTCCCAATATGATCATATACTGATATACCTGAAACAAGATTCACACATGCATATACAAATATATGTGTGTGTATACGACACATATATAAACTATGGGCCTAGTGGAAATATGGTCAATTCGCCCTTTATATATCTATACGGTTAAGTCCACGAGTGTCCATTAAGTGGAGATCCTTGGACATAACGTTATGGTCTTCTCTAATGAATTTATATTATTCGGTTTTTATTCCATGTGGTTTAACCATCGTTTTGAGATTATGAGTTCGTCGCAGGGAAATTTTCAAAGGAAAAACTGCTCCTTCACCTCCCACTGAACTCGTCTGATTCAAATCCAGGGTTGTCTTCTGCTTGAATTATTTTCTTCCTGGGTGTGAAGGCTTTTTCCAGGTCTTGCAGAGTTCGCCCTTTGGTCTCGGGAACGAAGAGCAGCACCAGCGGGACGATGGCCAGGTTTGCCCCTCCGAATAAAAGCAGCGTCAGGCCGAGACCCAGGGAGGACATCTCCTTCAGGAACACGAGGTTTACGGTGGACAGAAAAACAGAATAACCAAAGGTAATTATTGAAGCTCCTAGTGATCTGATGGGTGTAGGAAGGAGTTCGCCGAGGTATACCCACGGAATGGGTCCCAGACCAATGCCATAACTGACCACGAACACTGTAATGGACGTCAGAGGCACCCATGTAGCCTCTTCAACCTCCAGGAAGAGGAAGGTTCCGACGATGCCCTCCGACGCTGCGCAAATCAGTGCTGCCGCCATAAGGAGAGGTTTACGCCCCACCAGGTCCAGAGTGAAAGCAGAGACACACGTGCTTACAAAGCGAACAACACCGATAAATAATGTGCAGTAGAAGGCATCTAACTGCACTCCCGCATTGCGGAACATAAATACAGAGTAAAGGAACACTGGCCCCTTCCCCCCGAGTTCTCTCAGGATAAATATACTTAGTGTGAGTACCACTGGAATAGCGTTGTGTGCTTTGCGAAGCTCCCTCGCCTGTTAAAAGGAAGGAACACATAATTTTCCCTTTTCTGCCTGATTATATATTGCTTAATGTCATAAATTAAATACAATACGCCAAATATCAATTCCATTTCGACATCTGAATAAGGATTATTATCAGTCTACATGCATCTACCTGTATATGCCTACCAGTAGAACGACATAGAACGATAAAGCATGAATGGATGCCTGATGACTTATTATTTGCTCCTTACCTGGTCCTTGACTTCACTCTGCCTGAGGGTCGTCGTGCTCCTAATTGCCTCCAGTTCCCCAGCCACATTGCCATCACGACCCAGAAGAAGTCTTAGAGATCTCTCAGCTGCATCGATCTCATTCTTCCTCACTAGCCAGTATGGGGACTGAAGGCAGGAGGTATTTTACATATCTAGAGATAAAGTCTCATTTTATAAGTATATAGATACCATACATGTTGCATATTGATAATCAGACATGACCCGATCGTATATCACAAACCTCTGGCACAAGCAGTATCATGAAGAACAAGAGCAAAAAGGGGGCGGCACAAACCGCAGTGGCCGTTTCCCAAGGCAACAGGGAAGCTAGTAGATATGACAGAATATTCCCTAAGCAGGCGAACACCTCTGGGAGTACTGCAGCCCCGCCTCTGACCCGGGCAGGGCATAATTCTGCAACCAACGGGTTCATAACCATGACCGCCCCCGTGCCACAAACCGCCATTAGAGCTCTCGCGAGGTAAAGGAGCCACAGGTAAGGACTGAAGGCCTGCACGAGCCAAAGACCAGCAACGGGAAGCGTTATGATCGCAAGCACTCGTCGCGGACCCACGCACTCTGCTAAGGATCCGACTAATGGGGCAGTGATGAAACCCATTATCAAGGTCAGCGATACTGTAAAACAGAAAATAAATTCAGAAACTCAGCAAAGCCTAAGTGCTCTTAAATGTTTCTCATGATCACACTAACTATCAGAAACTTACCAAGCCACGACACATCGTTCTCGGTCACCGTGAACCTGCTGGTGTCCTCCTGGAGCTTGGGCAAGACCGCACTCCAGCCATACATCACGCCGTTGATGATGGCCGTCCCGCTCACCACAGCCAAACTCACCACCTGTGCGGCAAATGCAGTTGAAGTGTAGAAAGTAGATAAGTCATTTTCGTTTGTGTTATGGCATCCATGCTGAAGATCTTTATTTGAACCAAAGAATTTTTATCAAAGGTGATTTCTCCATTTCACTTTTCTCACTTAGCATATCTTCAACGGCTGCATTTGTAATAATAGCCATGATAAAAGTCGGAGAAACACAAGCATTTGTAGTTGGAACTTTACTTACCTGTTTAGGTGTTAGAGGTGCCTTCTGACCTCTAGCTTCCATGCTTGTTCCTGCATTATGCTCGCTATGGATGATGGTGCAATATACATGAAAATCATAATAAGATTGAATGAATTCGACAGAAACGACTGTGATAATACTCCCGTTATTATTATTCGATTACTCGGCATGAATAGTTTAGTCATTTCCTAAGAAAACGATAATGAGAAATATAAAATAGCTTGAGGCTGGTGATGACGGCCGTGATGTTAAGACTTAAACTTTGCTTTTACGATTCAAGTAATGTCAACAGAAAAATTGGCATTAATGA